TATTATATTAAAAACTATTAATAAAGATACGAGCAAGGCCTCACCTTAATAACCAAAAAAAAAACAAAATATAATAACAATTACATCTCTAAAAGTATACAAATCATTTTAATTAATTCACAGTCTTTATTAATAATATATTTTAAATTGGAATGATTAATTACAATAATTAATTTTGAATTTTCTAAAGGTTTCTAAGTATTTATTGTTAATATTAAATCTAATCTCTTTATGAAATAATTTCAAAACTAATTTAGAATAAAAAATAAAACTAATATTAAATACAAGTATAAAAATTTTGTTTTGAATTTGATTATAAATTTATTATTCAAAAATTTACTAACTTTAGTGTATAAACTTTGTATTAATATAGAGTGTAAATAATCAGTGATACAATAACAAATTTCTTCTTAAATTTGGTTAGAAAATAAAGTTGCAAGGTTTTATATTCGTAAAATAGCATTTTCTTGAAGTTAAAATCCAAAATTTGTAATTTTTTAGAAGCAAAACTAATATTAACAAATATTTCTTTATCATTTAGAATATTCTATAGAATAGGTGAACAACTCTGCAAACTCCACAACTCCATTGTTAAAATATTAATTGATTATTCTATAGAATAGAAGGGCAATATAAGAAATAAGTTTGCTAATAATTAGTAACCATTAATTTTTTGATAGCAGAGTTGAAAGGTTTGCAAAGTTTGCCCACCTATTCTATAGAACATCCAATTAATAATTACTAATTATTAATGAAGTTTATTTTTATATTGCACACTATATCAACAATATATTTAAATTGGTAGCATTCTATATCAATTACTAAATTTATTAATTGCCAGTGGATATGTGATTTTTCAATCTATATAGATTAAAAAATAGCTTATATTATTAGTTTATAATGCAATTAAATAAGAAAATCGTAATTGTTGCTTTTTAAATACCACCTCTTATATGATCTAGCAAATTATTAATTTTCTTAACCTTAACACTAGTTCTAATATTATACAAATAGAATTCATAAAATATCTAAAATGTTTATATATCTTAAATAAAAAGTTGATCATATAATCTCTATTTGTATTATATTTTACAAACAATAATTTATATTTTATTATTTCTGTATTTTAAATTTTTTATTTAATTTATTTTATAATTTTTTATTTATTTGTATTATACATTTTTATTAATTTTGCAAATTCATTTATTTATTTGTATTGCAATTTTTTATTGCAATTTTTATTAATTATACGATTATTTTTATTTGGAGCATTTTTTTAATGAGATCTTTGCTAGAAAATGACCCGCTTTGATTTTGTGAATAAAACTCATCTTTGCCAACAACCTAGTTATCTGATTTGAATGAACTTACTTATTTTGTGAAGCTAAATAATCTCTACAAAATAAAAGTATCATTCAAATTGGATGACCAGATGGCCTCAAAATTCAATTTCTATTAACAAAATCAACATAACCTCGGGTGTCATTTTTCTAGCAACAACCCATATAGTTAAGGTTTATATTTTTGTAATTCCTTTATGCAAATTTTTTTTTATGTTTTTCATGTGAAAGAACTTTAATATAATTATTATTATAAATCGTGAAATGAGCCAGAACATTTATACATGATTAAAATTATAAACTCATTCACCGTGAAATTTCAAATCAATCCATTATTAAATTGTGATCCCATAAATTTTTGAATCTATGAACCACTCATTGTCAAATCTTGAGCCCATGCTTTGTTGAAACCATGAAATGCTCAATTTTGAAATCACAACTTAATTCACTACGTATTAAATTTGTAAATTCAAACCCTGCTGAAATTATTTCCCACCTACTACAGTCAGACCTCAGGCCGGAAAACAAAAATTTGTCGATTATAAAATGTTGTGACTATATAAAGACCGAAATTTATAATATGATTTATAATAGCTAGGACTAAAACTTAGTGTGACTATAACAAGGTTGTGACTATATCAAGAGTGACTATAATGAAGTCTGACTGTACTAAAATTATGACACTAATGAAATAATAACCTCTTTTAAATAGTGGATCTACATGATTATTTAAATCAAAGATTCACCTACTCTTGAAATCATAAACCTGCTGTCACAAAAATATTAATAAAGTTATCTAAAACAGGGCCAGCTTTGACATTATGAACTTCCTGCTGTTGAAATTACGAACTTACAGAATTACTATAAATAAATATTGGCAATTGTAGTTGGAGAGCAAGTAGGGTATTGATATATTCTGCGCAGGAGAATAGTAACACAAATATCTTCAAGCAGGCTTGGAGTATTTGGGAGTTTTTATTCATGTAAGGGAAAGCTGCCTTTCTTTTTCCTATTGTTGTCTTATAATAAGGATGGGCTCTTTCGTTAAATGCGCAACAGCAATAAGTATTATTGAGTATTGGATAGTGACAGGCTTCACGGTTGCAGTGTCTTGTTTTTGTTTTGTCACTGTGGCTGTAATAGTAGTGCTAGGACTTTGTTTTTTTGTTATTGGATACTATGGCAGTGCAAAAACCCTTATACAATGCTTGGAATTTATAGCATAATAAATATTCATTACTGATTCTTTAAAACTGAGACTTTCCGTGCTTATAAATAAGATTTTCTCGTATGTATGTTGAAGACCGAATTGGGACTTACGTATTACATCAGATTATACATTCATTATTCACATGACCTAACTTATCCAATTAAATCTTTAATTATTTAAACGATAAACATTCATGTGAAAAAAGTCAAAATACGTATCAGGTATCAGGTATACGTATAAATATTGATAGGTATTTTTATTCTGGCGTCACTCATACACAGGTTTTTATTTAGTGTGATTTTAGATGAAATTTTTAAAAAAATAATTAAAAATGAGATCTGATAGTTCTAAAAAGAAAATTATAAACGATCCTATCCACGTAAAATTTCGTTTGTTATATTGAATAATTTATGAATTTTCAAATCAGTGAAAGAATTATTTTAATTGTCTTATGTTTTAATAGGGGTATATGGAATTTGATGAGTGGGCAATTAAATTTATTGATACACCGCAATTTCAAAGGTTGAAAGAAATAAAGCAATTAGGTTCTACCTATTTTGTTTATCCTGGTGCAAGTCATAATCGCTTCGAACATAGTTTAGGTAGATTTTTTTTACTAACTTTATCCTACGCAACTTTAATAGATGATTTTAATTAACACAGGCTATTTTAGGAACTGCGCACCTTGCTCATACATTTACAAAAATATTACAGCAAAAAGGCGCTGGAAAAACGGAAAATGCAGAAAATGCAGAAAGTGATTTAAAATGTGTGACTTTGGCCGCTTTATGTCACGATCTGGGTAAGCTAATATTTATTTGATGTGTAATTGAATAGTGACCTAAAATATTTAATTACGTATATTATGTGAACTATAATAGGACATGGACCATTTAGTCACGTATTCGATAACATAGCTATACCAAAATTAATGTACCAGAGAAATAATCATATTTTAATAATTTCTTCGCATCCAATTAACTATCTAAAATCAAATAACTATTTGCATACACCAAAACTACGAATTTTTATATAATAGAGGTCCAAAAAAATGGAAACATGAAAATGGGTCCATAATGATGCTAGAGGATCTTATTAAAGAACTGAGAGAGTTGGAAGCGGATTCTTTCGAACTAGAACCAGAAGAGGAAAAATTCATAAAGGCACTTATTATGGGAAAATCAGATGGAATATCAGCTGGAATGTATGTAATTTTTTAATGACTTCTTAATAACGGTTAGCCCAGTGATCAACAATCGCATGATAAATCATATCATTGCATCATTTGTTTACTAGAACATTTTGAACTAAATTATACCTATTATACTGGTAACTGAGGTCGAATACTTGTCATGGGTTTACTGTTTTGAAATTATTCGTTTTTGTAATGAACTGTGGCATTTTAATATCATATTTACATATATTTAATTTTACTTTAATCAGTGATAGGCCCAAATACCTATTTGATATAGTCAACAACAAAGATAATTCAGTGGATGTTGACAAATTTGATTACATTAGCCGAGATTGTTACAATTTGAACATGAAATCTTTGTTTGACTCTTCACGATTGATGAAGTTCTCTTGCGTTATAGATGACAGTATCGCCTATAACCACAAGGAATGCTTTAACATTTATGAAATGTTCCACACGCGTTATTCATTGCACAAGAGAGTGTATAGCCATCGCGTTAGTATGTTATCCATGAACAAAGTTTATTTCAAATATTTTTTTGTAATTATGGTGGTAGAATAATAATTTCTCTTAATTTAGACAGAGCAATTGATTATATGATAGCAGATGCACTTGTAAAATCAGATTCATACTTTAACATCAAAGGTGCAATTGAGGATCCTAAAAAATATATCAAACTGAATGATTCTATTTTGAGTACTATCGAACATTCTGATTGCGAGGTATTCAGTAGCCTAATTTTCTAATACTGTACACAACATAACATGTGATCAAATTTATGAGTATTTCAATAATTGATCCTTTAGGAATTAAGTGATTCAAGAAATATTGTAAAGCGAATTAGACGGAGAAATTTATACAAATATGTGTCTGAATGTTTAATCCCGAGAAATCTTAAAAATATGGTTACGAAGGTATTTTAACACTAATATAGACAGATACGTCATTCTATGATATTTTGCAATCCCTTT